TCAGGCCCCCAGCCAGGGTCCAGCCCTGAAGCCCTGACTCTCTTCTGCATTGGGGCCAGCACTGCGGGTACCTTCCAATCCCTCACCCTCAGCTCTCTTGACTGATCATTTCTGCCTGCCCGAGGGGGTGTTTACAGGGGCTTTCCCGGCCACCACTTGAGACCTGAGTGTGCTCCGATTAGCTGCAGTCAAAGCAGGAGTCCAGATTAGCTCTTGCGTTTCTCCTTCCCCCACTCCCCCAAGTCAACAAAGTGACGTGTCCATTCCCTTTTCTGCACCCCAGGCTCCCGCATGCACCCCCCCCCCCGCCCAACCCAAACTCAGCACAGGAAGGGGGCTCTGCCCAGTGCCCAGGCGGGGACTGGGGGGCAGGGAGGGGGAGGAGCCCCATAGGGGAGCAGGGAGGCGAGCTCTGCCCTGGTAGGGACTGGGGGGCAGGGAGGGGAGGAGCCCCACAGGAGAGGAGGGAGGCGGGCTCTGCCCTGGCAGGGCCTGTGGGGCAGGGAGGGGCAGAGACCCAGCAGAAGGGCAGGGAGACGCCCTGCCTTGGCAGGGACTGTGGGGCAGGGAGGGGCAGGGAGACGGCTCTGCCCTGGCAGGGACTGTGGGGCAGGGAGACGGCTCTGCCCTGGTAGGGACTGTGGGGCAGGGAGGGGCAGAGACCCAGCAGAGGGGCAGGGAGACGGCTCTGCCTTGGCAGGGACTGAGGGAGACCCCGCAAGGGGGCAGAGACTGGGGGACAGTGGGAAGGGGTGGCCCCCGCAGGGAGGGGGGCTCTGCCCTGGCAGTGAAGGGGCGCAGAGAGGAGGGACAGCCGCGGAGGGGTGCGGGTGGGGGACAGCACTGCAGGGGCCAAGTGGTGCAGCGGGTGGGGAAGTATTGGGGGTCCCTGCCCGAGTGCCACCATAAGCAGCAGTGGAAACTTACCAGCCTCGGTGGGTGGGTCCGAGAGCCGAGTCCCGGGCAGCAGCGGGACCAGCACCGGAAACAGATCCGCCCCGGAGCTCTGACAGCAGCTGCTGACAACAGCGTAGTTCCTTCCATTGCCGCCCTCTCCATTGCTCTCAGCACGAGCATCCCCAGCCCCTGCCTGCCCCCCTGGCACTGAGATCGGGGGGGTTTCTATACGTGTCCTCGCACCCCACCTAGAAAGGGGGATTACAGGTTTGTTGGGGTTTTACACCCTTGTCCGCGCCAGCCAGATAGATTACATCTCATGAGTCCTTCATCTCCGCCCTTCCCCGCAGCTCACAGGAGAGGAACTGAGACAAGAAAGGAAAAACTTGTCCTAGAAATTTCTGTCCGTTCCAGCTGAGGACGAAGGAGAGGCGGACACAGCTAGCCAAGCAAGGAGCCCCAGGAGGGGCGATCCGTTTATTTCA